AGATGCTTTGTCAAAACCGGTGGGAAATGTTGCGAACGGAGACCTACGAAGGCAACAAATCTTAGAAACGTAATTAATTGTTATTAAGTTCCCGTTAATCTTCTGCGAGGGTCCATTATTAACATTACCAAGTTCAGATGATTCTGCTGCAGTTCCCCAACAAATTATTAGTTTTGATACTACATAAAACCAGAAAGAGAGATTAGTTAAAAAAGTTTTTCATCAACCACCGAAAACTGGAAAGAACAATGACAAAAGGAAAATGGGGTGACTCTCGTGGATATAAGGAGATGGGCGTGAGAGTCACCCACCAAGAGAGGAGGTTGGCAGGAGACGAGATGTCAAAGAAGTAGCCGGATCGTCCTTCTCTATTTTGGGTCGCTTATATGGAGGCTTTTCGGATCCTGTTCTCGTGAGTTCTTCTGGTGCTTCTTCCCTCAATTCGACGAATTTTCAGCTCCTTTCATTGCTTCTTCCTTACTTCTAGACACAGTCGCACTAGGTAATCCTAGCGTGACCAAGTTTACCTGTCATTCGGTTCTATTTAAGAGATTGATGGTTATTTCAGTACACTAGGATTAGTGGCCATAATCAAGAGTTTATTTGTTATTATTAGATTTGCTTACCTGTTCTCCAGACAGGAGATTGTCGATGTCGCGCAACATCATCAACAAGCTTCTTCATGCACTCTAAGTTCTCACTCCAGCCGTCTGGCCGTCCAGCAATATCGTACCAGCCTAGATGTTAAAGATAACAAGAGCGATGCTTTGCTACGCTTGCATCATTATGTATCCACGAGACATCGATGTCGTTAACAGTTTGCATTCACAATTACCGTCTCTCTGCAACATGAAGAAAAACCTTCTGCAGACTTATAACTTACTCCTAATGAATGTCAAAATTGTATGAGATTTAGAAGGTCACAGATAATAATTCTGACCTGTGCATGAAAATGACATCTGTTCATGTCGTAGAGCTATATAGTGCTAAGTTTAGCTACCATTCTAAAACTGGTCCTAATAACTGTCGCAGCTAAACCATGACACATTGAGCGCTCACTTGAGAGCTCGATAAGTATTGGTTGAGCGGTCGTTGCACTGGAATAGCCAAAAATCCCTCCATAAGAGACTCGGAAACATAATGTTGTATTCGATGCTAACTCGGAGACGACAATATCGCTTTTCCTCATGTCCGTTTCCACAAAGTTCCCGAGAATTTGCGAAAAATCAGGTAGGGC